TCATAAGTCCAAAATCACCTAAGAGAGCTAATGGAACCATTAAAACTCCATTACGGAGCTATTTACACACAAGTCAACATCCGGTCAACCTTTTCAACTTAAGCTTCCAACCTTGAGACTAAATATCTCAACTCATTCCGAAACCTCTTCGGACCGAACCAACTACCCCGGCAAGTCACATATCAGCTATAAAGCATAAAATGAGCGGTAAATGGGGGAACATGGCTACAACTCTCAAAATGACCTGCTAGGTCGTTACATACTCCCCCTATTAATCAAACGTTCGTCCTTGAACGGGTCTAGAAACGTACCTGGGGTCCCAAATAAGCGTGGATATCTACTCTGCATCTCCCGCTCGATCTCCCAAGTAGCCTCCTCAGTTGGCTGATCTCTACTATATCTTCACTGAAGCTATATCCTTTAACCTCAACTTTCTAACATGCCGACCCAAAATGGCCACCGGCTCCACATCATAAGTCAAATCACCACCCAACTGAATCGTGCTGAAATCCAAAACATGAGACAGGTCTCTAACATATTTTCGGAGCATAGAAATATGACATAATAGATGCACACTCGACAGACTAGGTGGCAAGGCATGCTTGTAATCCACCTCTCCAATGCTCAAAAGCACCTCAAACGGACCAATATACCGAGGGCTCAACTTTCCCTTCTTTCCGAACCTCATAACACCATTCATGGGTGAAACCTTGGGCAGTACCTTCTCCCAACCATGTAAGAGATATCACAAACCTTCCTATCAGCGTAACTCTTCTATATAGACTACACCATGTGCAGCCGATCCTGAATCAATTTAACCTTGTCCAAGGCTTCCTGAACCAAGTCGGTACCCAATAACCTAGCCTCCCCCGGCTCAAACCAACCCACGGGAGATCAACACCGTCTCTCATACAAAGCCTCACACAGAGCCATCTGAATGCTCGACTGGTAGTTGTTGTTGTAGGAAAATTTGCGAGTGGTAGAAACTAATCCCAAGAACCTCCGAAATCCATGACACAAGTGCCTAGCATATCCTCCAATATCTAAATAGTGCACTCAGAGTGTCCATCCGTATGAGGGTAAAATGTTGTACTCAACTCAACCTGGGTGCCCAACTCTCGTTGCACGACTTTCTAAAATTGCATGCGTGAAAGCGAACAATCTCACGGATATAAATCTCAGCCAACCGCTCTGAAGAATAGGTAGTCCCAACTGAAATAAAGTGCGCGAACTTAGTTAGTCGATCAACAATCACCCAAATAGCATCGAACTTCCTTGAAGTCCATGGGAGCCCAACTACAAAATCCATGGTGATACGCTCTCTTTTCCACTCAGAAATCTCAAGCTGCTGAAGCAATCTACCCGGTCTCTGATGCTCATACTTCACTTGCTGACAGTTTAGGCACCGAGCTACGAACCCTACTATATCCTTCTTCATTCTCCTCCACCAATAATGTTACTTCAAGTCTTGGTACTTCTTTGCGGCATCCGGATGAATGGAATTTCGCGAACTGTGGGCATCCTCAAGAATCAACTCACGTAGCCCATCCACATAAGGCACACAAATCTGACCCTGCATCCTCAACACCCCATCATCCTTAATAGTAACATCCCTGACATCACCGTGCTGAATCGTGTCCTTAAGGACAAGCAAATGGGAATCATCATACTGACACTCTCTGACGTGGTCAAATAAGGAAGACCGAGAAACCACACAAGCTAGAACCCGACTGGGTTCCAAAACATCTAATCTCACAAACTGGTTAGCCAACGCCTGAACATCAACTGCAAGAGGTCTCTCACCAACAGGAATGAATGCAAGGCTACCCATACTCACCACCTTTCTACTCAAGGCATCGGCCACCACATTGGCCTTCCCGGGATAATACAGAATGGTAATATTATAGTCCTTTACAAATTTAGATCCTTCTGTTTGAACAAGTATTGGAGACTACGATGATCTATAAATGCCTCACAAGACACACCATAGAGATAGTGCCTCCAAATCTTTAATGCATGAACAATGTCAGCCAACTCTAAATCATGAATATGGTAGTTCTTCTCATGGGGCTTCAACTAATGTGAAACTTAAGCAATTACTCTACCCCCTGCATCAAGACACACCCAATACCAATCCGAGAAGAATCACAATACATTGTATAAGAATCAGAAGATGCAGGTAGAACTAGAAGTGGAGTTATGGTCAAGGCAGTTTTGAACTTCTGAAAGCTCTCCTCAGACTCATCCGACCACCTGAAAAGAGAACCCTTCTAGGTTAATTTGGTCAGAGGTGATGCAATAGACGAGAAACCCTCCACGAAGTGATGGTAATAACCGGTCAAGCCGAGAAAGCACCGAAACTCCGTAGTTAAGGACGGTCTGGACCAACTCTGAACCGCCTCTATCTTCTTTGAATCCACCTTAATCCCCTCACCGGACACCACGTGCCCTAAGAAACCCACCAAACTAAGCTAGAATTCATACTTGGAGAACTTGGCATAAAGTTTCTCCTCGCTCAGTCACTGCAACATAATCCTCAAATGCTAGGCATGCTCCTCATGGCTACGTAAGTAAACCAGTATATCATCAATGAACACTATGACAAGCAAGTCGAGATAAGGCTGAAATACAATGTTCATCAGATGCATGAATGCTACTGGGCATTGGTCAGCCCAAAAGACATCACAAGAAACACATAATGACTATAACGGGTCCTGAATGCTATCTTTAGAATATCTGAGTCCCGAATCTTCCACTGGTGATACCCAGACCTCAAATCAATCTTAGAGAACACCCTCGCTCCCTGAAGCTAGTCAAATGGATCATCAATAAGTGAAAAAGGATACTTGTTCTTGGTTGTAACTTTGTTCAATTGCCTATAATTGATGCACATCTGCATGGTACCATCCTTCTTCTTCACAAACAAAACTGGTGCACCCTACGACGACACACTAGGCCTAATAAATCCCTTATCAGGAAGTTCCTGAAGCTGCTCTTTCAATTCCTTTAACTCAGCTGGTGCCATACGATATTGTGAAATAGAAATGGGCTGAGTTCTAGACACCAAGTCAATACCAAAGTCAATATCTCTGTCGGGCGGCATGCCCGACAGGCCTACAAAAAATGCATCCGGAAAGTCTTGCACCACCTAAACAGAATCAAAAGTGGGAGTATCAGCACCAACATTCCTCACAAAGGCCAAATAAGACAGACACCCCTTCCCAACCATTCGTTGGGCCTTTAGATAAGAAATCACTCTGCTGGGAACATAATCTAAAGAACCTCTTCGCTCTATCCTTGGAAACCCCTACATCGCTAATGTCATAATCTTAGCGTGACAATCCAGAACAGCATGACATGGAGACATCCAATCCATACCCAAAATCACATCGAAATCAACTATACTAAGCAATAAAAGATCAACTCTAGTCTCCAATCTACCAATAGTCACTACACATGACCGATATACACGATCCACAACAATGGTATCGCCCATTGGCGTAGATACATTAAGAGATAAAACTAAGGACTCACGGGGCATATCCAAATAATGAGAAAAATATGATGATACATACGGATAAGTGGAACCATGGTCAAATAATACAAAAGCATCCCTATGGCATACTGAGACAATACATGTGATCACTGCATCTGAAGCAACGATATCTGGCCTGGCAGGAATAGCATAAAATCGGGTCTGACTGCCACCTCATTGGCCTCCCCCTCTAGGGCAACCTCTAGCTTCCTGGGCCCCATCCCAAGCTGGTTGAGTAGGAGGTGTGACTGCTGGTGCTGATATCATTGGCCGAGAACTCTGTTGTGGAACTTCACTTAACAATCTAGGGCAATCTCTCTTGATATGACCTATGTCCCTGCACTCAAAACAACCCTTCCTCTGATGGAGTTGCTGCTTCTAATAACCCGAGGAACTGCCTATAGAAACCTGAGCAAACGTGCCATAGTGAGAACTCTCTGCTGGTAGTGCACTGAATGAAGACTGGACTGAGTGAGCATTATAAGAACCATGGCTAATGATGCACCACGATCAGTTGGACGAGTCGTTTGAGCGGGCCTATAAGGATGGCCCCTGTTGTGGTAGGACTACCCCTAGAAGGAACCCACTGAAACCACCCGAACTGAGAGGCCTCTTGGCCTCCCTCTCCTCACGCTCCTGACTACATACCATCGCTATCTGCTGAGCAATATCAACCAACTCGTCGAACATAGCACCGGATACCCTCTCCCGAGACATAAGAAACCGCAACTGATAGGCAAGACCATTAAAGAACCTCCTAATCCTCTCCTTTTCAGTGGGAACCAACCAAACTGTGTGACGAGCCAACAAGACTGTGGCACAAACTTCTCAAGAAGAGAATAGAGAACTCATTCCATGTAAGTGGTACTACACCTACCAGCCTGCGCCTCTCACAAGCCTCCCACCATCTGAAGGCAGCCCCAGTAAACTAAAATGTAGTGAATGAGACCCCACTCACTATAACAAAAAGGCTTTTAGCGGCAATTAAAATACTTTTTAGCGGCAATAGAAATGGCCGCAAAATCATTTACCGGCAATTAGTTTTTGGCCGTTGTATCGGGCGTCGGCAAATCTATTGGTGGCCATTAGACCAAGTGCTGGTTAAGACCTCTTTATGGCCGGTAAAAGTCCTTAAGTTTTATCGGCATTTATTTTCCGGCAATTGCAATGGCCATGAAAATCCCCCTGCCATTTCATAGGTCAAATATCCTGCAACCTTTAGTATTACCGCTAAAAACCAATTTAATGAATGATAAAAGGAACCTCTTTTGGAGGCAAATACAATGGCCGCTAAGCGATTTTAGAATTTAGGTTTTTTCATCTATTAATGACTTTTGTTATGGATGGTAAAATCTGATTGTTATAAAAGAGGATATTTAGTGACTTTTGTATTTTGCTGCTAAACATTATAGAAAGAACTATCCCAACATTTGCAATGCATGTTGTACCTATTTACATTCCACAATAATAATATTAATTCACTTCAAACAGCTCAATGCACTTCATTAAATCCATAATTTGAGAGTGCAAACAACATAAAAATGCTAAATTATTTGAATCCAATAATATTTCGCATCTAATTAGTTATTTTATCAAGTAGCTATAAGCTCGATAATAAATTACATCGGACAGATTCTCCCAACTCTTGATCACATGAACTTTCACATGCTATATCTCTGAACATCACAATATATCACCTGAAATGATAAAACAAAATGAATATAATATAAATGACATATAAAGTTCATCAATAGTCAAGAAAAATAGCTGCTTGACCTTTACATATACTGGCGGCATATCAAGGAATTGCTACTACAAAATTTAATCAAAACCAAGTGTACAAGACATGCATTTCTTTTTTTGCTAACCATTACAATATAACAAACCTCAAAAAGATTTATAGAGTTCGAAGAAAGTCAAATACCAGTTCAAACAAAATATATTGTGTTACACTTAACAAAGAGCATTTTCTTTTGTCTTTAGCAAATCCTAGATCTTTGAAACACTGTAATGCCTATTTTTCCCAATAAAACTCTTACGGTAACAGATAAATTTATATGGCTATGACACTTCTGGATATAAATGAGACGGAAATTTCATTATTCATGATTCTACAAGTAATATCAAGTAGACAACATCATTGTTTAAACTCATTTAAGTAGTTGGATTTTTAAGTCCACACAGTTATGTTTCAGCATAGAGATTACTTTATGTAATTTAGTGCAACGGTAGACATATTTTTAGCAAATTACAACTCCTAAATTTTCAGCTTTTTGCTCTTTTCAAAAAATAAATGAAACTTCAAGAAAACACCTTTCAACCCCATGCCTAATCATACTTAATTCAAATTCCTCATCTGCTAATAACATATCAGCAATATAGCCCATCTTTCAGCATAACAAAGTAATAATCTATATATATATATATATATAAGTAACTAAATAACTTTTGATATTGAAAACTCTAAAGGAAAAAAATCTCTCTTTTAATCTAATATTTCAGTGCTCATCCACATTCAGAGGGTATTCCATTCTCTTCCCTAAAGAGAAGATAAGATATTCAGAAAAGAATACAATCACAGTCTAATAAAATTATCCACAACGAAAATGAAGTTGACGAAGTTGACAGATAGATTGTAGACAACATATATCACTTGAACCAAATAGAGATATTAGTTAAAAAAACTGAACAGTTAATGAGTTAACAATGAAATTAGACTAAATAAGAGATACTAACCTAGCTTTGTTCGAATAAGTATAATTGGTACTCCGGGAACATAATGTCTCAATTTAGGAATCCGCTAAAAAATAATAACAAGAGCAAGAAATAAGGTATTCCTTCAGAGAAATTATAAAATATCACCAACCATAGAAACGTTTCATTTTTCTCTTTAACAGACAACCTTTACCCGTTCATTTCTAGTAAACATACGAAATCCTAAAATGCCGGAGTAGAGTACTAGTATTTTTAGTATATTCACCAGTCGTCTTCACCAAATAACTAAAGTGAAAACTAAAACAAGCCAAGGTTTGCATGAACTTACTTCAAGTAACAAGTATTGGTATTACAACTAGCGTACACATTTCTCCGCTGTATTATAAAAAAACAAGTAAAAGTACTATAAAGAAACTTGAAATTAAGAAGGAAGTCTACCTTTTTTTGGAGACATTTTTGTAATTGTGCTTGCTAGCGAGAAATCTTTCTGTCTGAAATTCTAGATACATCTGCCCATGATAGCTCAAGCCTCAAGGGTCTTATTTTATTGTAATCTTCCTTCCTTGTTCAATCAAATAGTAGAGGTAGTCAATAATATCACAACGATATTAAACCAACAACGTTAACTAATGTCCTGGATAAAAAGTATACCTGCAGTATCCCGCAGACTCAGATTAATAATGCTGCCACCGGCAATCACATTTGCTCTAAAATGTCAAATACAATTAGGACTTAATCCTGAACGCAAGATAACAGAGAATTGAAAATATGATACATCGTAAAGATTTTGCTGGATCAATATATATATATATATATATATATATATATATAAATTTAACTTTCCTAATCATCAATTAAGCTAACTCTTTAAGACTTCAATTAGGGAACAACCAAGCATCTAAATTAAAAACTAAACTATTCAAGTTCAGAAGCAAAGACAAGCTCTTCAATAATAAGCCTTCATCTTTATAATAGAATATCCACATATTCAATCACAAGGTCCTATATTTGAAGCGTTCTTCTCTATTCTTTTACAGAAGTTATCACCAATACAAAAGAATTCTGCGGACAAATAATTTAACCAAACAACTTCAAGAAGAAGTTCACTAAGCTAAACATTGCGAAAGACTATTTTCAATATGGAATCCCTTCCCCTCGTCATATCAAATGCATAAACGATATCATACACATAAAAAAAAGGACTTACTGCTATTGCTAATCAAAAGGAGCTTGATGAGCTAATCTGTAGTCGTGATGGGCTAGAGCAGGTGGAGCGGCCATTTGATTTTCTCAAAAAATAATGAAGGGGAACTACTCCAACCCTAGATATAAGAAAATCACCTTAGCAACTGCGAGAATGTGAGGAAAACTGATCAAATTAGAATAAAATTAACTGAAATTCATATGTATGAGTATATGTACAAGGATTTATGCATACATACACTCTCATATCAGATCGGAGAACAGTAAATGAAGAAAGAGAAAAATGAATATATGTTTGAGATCTACTAAATAAATGGATGATATAACGAGAGAGTAGAAAGAGATAGTTGTGTTACCTGGAATTGGTTGCCGGCGATGAGATAGAAATCAATTGCAGTGGCGGTAATGGTTTCAGCAGCGGTTAGATAGGTTGAGTCTTTGTGATGTATTCCCAAATTTTTCAAATTTCATTTTGTTATTTTGAGAAATTGGAGGGAATATTAGGTGAGGGTAAGATAAAATACTAAAATTTCTTTTGAATTAGCTGCTTTTAGTGGCCAGTCATTTTTTTTGCCGGTACAAGAGTATCTTTTCCTGACCAATATCTATTTGCCGGTAATCTTTCTCATAAATAAATGAATTAGCGGCCATTAAGCTATTGCCACAAAATAATTACCGCTAAATACTTATTTTGTTGTAGTGACTGGTCTCCAGAATACCTGTTGTACGAAGAATCCGCTGGCACCTATCCAAGAAGTCCTGGTCATCCTCAGACTTAGCCCCACTAAATGATGGAGGTTGGAGTCTCCATAATCTCTCTAGTCTCCTCTACTCATCATCAGTCATAACGGGACCCACCTGTGCCTGAGCAACTGTAACTAGCTGGGCTAGTAGTACCCCGGTGTCTGAAGTCCCTGCATCAACTGCTCTGGAGTATGGGCGGTGGGAGTCTAAGTACCTCCCCCGACCTGAGAAGTGGTTGCTGGGTTAGAATAAAAATTGCCTGAGCAAGGCTGGTGCACACAGTCAAAATTTGGGCCAAAGCCTCCCAAAGGCCTAGAATCACAATGGGCACAGTTGGTGCCTGAGCTGGCCCTACTGGCTCAACCATATCTGGTACCTGCTCTTGAGCTGGAGCAACTGGTGGATAGCAGGTGCTACTCTAGCTACTGTACGAGTTGTACCTCTGCCCCTACCGTGACCCCGGTCTCTCGTGGCCCTAGCCAGTGGTACTGGTGGCCGTCCATCCTGACCGATAGCACGTGTCCTCACCATCTGTGAGAGATTAGAATAATAGAATTTTAGTTGTCAGAGTCAACAAATCTCCACGACAAAAATACAAGAATGTGAAGTTTTTCTAAGGGTTCGTCAACCTCTCAAATATAAGTACAGATGTCTCCGTACTATTCCGCAAGAGTCTACTAAACCTATTAATGACTCGTAAGACCTATGTAACTTAGATTCTGATACCAACTTGTCACGACCCAAAATCCGAGCTGTCGTGATGGTGCCTATCATGGTACTAGGCAAACCGACATCTCACACATACCAACATTTCTAAAACCCAAATATGCAGAAATATATTTAAATAATTAAGGATCTCGTAAAAACTAGATATAAACAATAAAACTCAGTACAAAATTCTCTCAAAAGATTTGGGTGTCACGGAGTGCATGAGCATCTACATAACATCACAATCAAACCAATAGAACATTGCCTAGGAAAGTAGAACAGTAAAAACAAGTCTAAAAGATATAGGAGGTGAGTCAAGGTCTGCAGACGCCGAGGCGGCTACTTCGATGATCTCCGAACTGATGAAATGTCAGGAATCAGTAACTGCTATGCCCGAAAATGACCGAATCTACACATGAGGTACCGGGTATTGTGAGTACAACCAACTCAATAAATATCTCAAATAAACAAGGCAAGGTAAGAGAAGCTTAATTTGTTGAGGTCACTAGTTAAATCAGTGCAATTCTGTCCTCTTTGATTAACATAGTATAAAATTTAAAGCTAGATCATAAGGACTCATGATACGAATATCCGTGTGTACATGTGCACTGGTTCTCAATTACCCTGCTCAACAGTATTATAGCATGTAGAGGAAAGAAACACGTAAATCGAATAAATGATCAAGAAAGTACGAGTTCCACAAACTGCACGGACAACTCACGTGATGCACGGACAACTCATGTTCTAATAATCAAATCTACACGGACAACTCACGTGCGACACGGATAACTCACGTGTCAATAATATCAATATATGGAGCTACACAGACAACTCATGTGCTGCACGGATAACTCACATGCATTAACATAATCCACCAGGCATAGCCGTAGGCCCCAGTCCAAAATATCATACAGAAGCAATAAATCAAGTATAGAGGTATATAATGGATGAAATACGATTCTCCTATCCCTGGACTGGTGTAAAATGACATACTAAAGTGTAGGCATGTGCAAAGTATGCTACCGTAGTTCAATCCGGCAATTTCATCAATGAAAAGCATTTATCTAGTTCGCTCGGGGATTAAATGTTACACCCCACAATATTACGTCAATATTACGTCCCGCAGTATTATATTACGATGATGTTACATCTCGTAATATTATATTACGATGATGTTACGCCTTGCAGTATTAAATTACGACGATGTTGCACTCTGTAGTATTGTACGTTGAATTTGTCGTAAGGTAATTGACATTAGTCCAAGAAAAAGATTATTTAGAGATTATAAGGATTATGCTATTTCAAACAAGTGATGAGTAAATTCATGAAGGTGAGAGGGGAAGCAAGTCAAAAAAAATAAATTTTCGTCGAAGTTTGATATTTTGGATAAAATATGGCTCGAGCAAAAATACCCGGTATTTATGGACTAGTGCTATACAATGTACCATATGACCATGATAGTAAGGTGTATAAGGAGTGTTAAAAGTAAGTAGTATTTTAAGTAATTTGAGATTATTCTTAATTATGTAGGTAATTGATTAATTATTGGATTAGTGGGAGATTAATTAAGTAATGAAGCCAATTAAGAGATTAAAATAATTTGGATAAGTATAACAGGGCTTAACGTGGCAGCCCTCAATTTCAACACTATGACTTTTGAATTCATGTAATTAGGTGGCAAATTTAAGGGATTTTGGTGACCAAGTCATCCCACACAAGTGCGGCCCACAACCAAAGACATAAAGACCTCTCATAATTCAATTTTCATCTCTACAATGTAATAGACAAAATTCAGCAAAGTATCTAACAAGACATCTCAAATACAAAGTAAGATATCACATGATTTGAATGGCAACTAAAGTTACTTCAACAATTCATACGATATTGTATCTTAGCCACGTGAGATTGTGCAATTTTAAGAAAGTACAGTGTAATCTTTCTCAAGAATATCATATGGATTTTTCCCTACTTCGATCCTCCATTACGTGGTGTCGCAATTGACGTATGTTAAAGGGATTCTCAAGAGAATCGGCTCAAGTATGTTAAGGTTATCCCTTCTTTATTTTTGGCATGATCTATACGACACGAACGAAACGAGCAAATGCACAAATTCTATAAGTGACTCTATTCATAGAAGTATTAGAGATGTCTATGTTCTTGAATTCCTATATGTCATATTATTTTATCATCTATTCATGAGTCTCAGAAAATACGTAAGTTGATAAAGTTTGTTTCATGATATTAATCAGAGGCATAATGGTCTTATGACGTACCAAGAGATTTTATTAACGTATTTCATATGTATCTCATACATTTATACATGCAAATTGACCCATGACCAGATGGCATTATATACACGTATATATATATATATATATATATATATATGTATATGAGATATGAAAAAGTTTATGGCGTTATATACGCACCACCATGTGATCAGCTGGTATACGTTGATGATTTTGCCCACGGTGGCCGAGATGATATGATGGGATGCCCTCAGAGGCCTGATGATGTTATGAAATATGTATCTATGCACGACATGACATTCATACGCATATGCATGACACTATAATTATTTCATGATTTATAGAGTTATCCAGACTTATAGGTTGAGTCATTTACTGTATATTTCTTCCATGTCTGTTATGTACTTATTTATGTGCATTACATACTCGGTACATTATTCGTACTGATGTTCCTTTTGCCCGGGGATGCTGCATTTCATGCCCGCAGGTCCCGATAGACAGGTTGAGAGCCCTCCATGTGGGCTATCAGCTCAGCGGAAGATGTTGGTGCGCTCCATTTTCTTCGGAGTTGCTTGTTTGGTTAGTATGATTTAGACGTGTATTGTTTGGTATGGCGGGACTCTGTCCCGACCTTTATGAAAATTATATATTCTTAGAGGCTTGTAGACAAGTGTCATATACGTAATAGACTGTGTGGCCTTGTCGGCCTATATTTAGTATACGAGTGGTTATTTTGAACTTATAGGCCCGTATGTCTTATGTATAAGTTGGTATCACATGTTGTATTTTACTTATCTCACGGCAGCCTTCCGGCTCAGTTATCCATGATAGAATGACTTGAAAAGATATGTTCTATTGGTACTCGGTTGAGTAGGGCACCTGGTGCCCGTCGCGACCCATCGGTTTGGGCCGTGACATTAAACCTTTAAGTAATTTCATCATGGCTCAATTAGACCACATAAGCTGTTATCACATGTTAGATATCGAAGCTCAAAGCTTAACATTCATTTCTGTACAACCCAAACATGAATATACAATCCCCGTGCCCGCACATGGGATCATCCCCACATAGTGTGCACCCAAAAGCACGTGGCTATCACAACAATTCAGGCAACTGGTGCCTCAACTGAGTTTAAATATGATACTTACCTCAAGCAACTTGAATCACTACACTAGCAAGCCTTTGCCTCGCGAATCGGCCTCCGAACATCTCGAATCTAGCCATAAATAATTCGATAAAATCAACACGAGATAAAGAAATTAATTCCATAAGAAAATACTAAGTTATTGTCAAAATCAAAAAGTCAACTCAAAAGACGGTCCCCCGGACCATGTCTCGGAATCCAATAGAAGTCATAAAATCCGGAAGTCCATTCCAACGAGAGTAACCATACCAAAATTAGATACCAAATCGTCACTCAAATCCCTAAATTTAACTCTTCAAATCCCTAGCCTCAAAACCACACAATCTAGGTGAAAAATTCAATAGGGAAACATAATTATGTAATAAATTTAACCATAAGTGACTTACCTCGAAAATTCTTTCAAATTGTCTCTCAAAAATCGCCTAAAACCAAGCTTGAAATATCCAAAATGAAGAAAATCTCAGAAACCCTCGAATTTAAACACTGCCCAGTGCTATTGCACCAGCGGCCAAATGTCCGCACCTACGGAATCGCTCTTGCGATAGAAGTTCCGCTTCTGCAGAAGTAACTTAAGCCTACAAGGTCTGCATTTGCACTCCAGGTTCCACACCTGTGAAAGCGCTTCTGCGACCCTCAATCCGCTTCTGCGAAGACAACTTACTCCCCCTTCTCCGCATCTGCGAAGCCTTGCTCGCACCTACGGGCTCGCAGATGCAGAAGACCCCTCGCCC